CCTGCTCTGTTCTGACTACTGCCTCTTGGTCCAAGTATAGGTTTCGTATTAGCACAATTAAATGTTCTGGGATTCCCATTCTTCTCAGAGTCAGGTGGGTAATCTATTTTACAGTCTCTGAAAAGGATAAAACATGAGTCGGTTCCGATTCAAAAGCACATACTAATAAGAACAACAGCGAGGAAAAGAAGTACACATTTTTTTCTTCGCTCTTTTTAAGCGACCGAAGAGACCAGCTAGGCAGTTTCCTAGTTACCAAAGACCTGCGGCTGTGCTCCTGACGTCATCTCGCGAGGACTGCGGCGCTGGCTGATGACGCACCACTTCCGGCGCTCTGGCTATGGCGCTGGGTGGAGCGAAAACTTGGCTATTGCTGTAGTAGGGTCATGAAGAAGAGGCGGTGGCGGGAGGCAGGAGGTGGTGGAGGGGGAGCTAAGCTGCGGTAGCTGTCAGCGGGGCTGGTGGGATAGCTTCGTGAGAAGGGCGTAGTTCTTATCCTTCTCCTCGGCAGCGGCCGGGGCTCGGGGCTCAGAGCGGCCGTGGGGCCGCTTCCCCGGGCCCCCTCCCTCCGCCATGTTCCGCAGGGCGCGCCTTAGCGTGAAGCCGAATGTCAGGCCTGGTTTAGGTGCCAGGGGCTCCGCCACTTCCACCCCGCAGCGTGGAAAAGAGGCTCCCAGGCCGCCGGAGCCTCCAGCGACCTCAGCTCCCAAACCAGCTGAACCTGCAGATGTGCCCGTGGCGGATTTCGGGGGAGCCGAACCTCAAGAAAAGAGTCCCCAAAGCAGGTAAAAGCTTGCTGTGATGAGCAATTTCCCCCCCCCTGCTCCGCCCCTCCAGGCTTGTCTACTGGGAGTTGAGCAAATGAACTTTACTGTAGGAGTGCTCTGTGGCTTGCAACAAGCCTTGCATTTTAGGTGAGATGAAAACGCTCTAGAATGTCATCCTAGAGATGTGTCCGCCGTGGATCTGGCATGGTCTTAGATTTTCGGGATGGAGGGTGGGTCCGCGTAGGGCTGCTGACCATGGTGTCTGGGCTTGGTTGGGAATCCAGTAAGCATTCTGGAAGTATGTGTACACGTGGTACTGATGCTCACTGGAGAGTTTAAGGTTATGGTAGTTTATTCTCCTGGAGTACTATGCAAAGAGAAAATCCTCCCCCCTCCCCCAAACATTCTTTTCTTTTGAAAAGGACCAAAGTGTTCGATTTGTTCTTTTGATTTATGACATTGGAAAATGAATTTGCTGATTTGCTGTGCTGCCAGTACTTTGAAGGTGTTTCCCTTTCATTATGGTGACCGTGTTAAATGGAAAGCATAGCTTTAGCATCGGTCTAGAGACTAAAGTGCGCCTGCCAGGCAATGATCTTAGCAGTTGCTTCCTATATGCCAGAGAGCTGGACAGTGATTAGGGATGTTAGAAAGCGCCTTTGAGTATAGTGCTGGAGAAGAGAGTTGACTGCCATGCACTGCCAGGAGGCAAAAACAGCTTCGTTTTGGAGAGGATGAGACCAGGTTGCTTCTTGGAGGCAAGGATTCTGACGCTTCGTTAGACATAGTTTGGGCATGTTGCTAGGAGGGATCTCTTGGAGAGGGACGTCATGCTTGGAAGGGTGGAGGGATGGAGAAAGAGAGGCAGACGTAGATGAGATGGATTGATAAAGTGACGGGTAATGAGGCGTGTCAGAGACAGTAAGGTTAGCACAGGATAGAGCAGGTTTCAGGGCTGTTGTACATAAATAGATAGGGTCGCTATGAGTTGCAGTCGACTCTAGGGCACTAACAACAACAACAAGAACAACAATAACAAAACAAACAGCAGTTGAAGTCTGGAGTCTTCTGGTTAATTTTTCCAGTGTAAGACTTCCCACGGGCAGAATGTAGACATTTGTAAAAAGGGCATAATATTACCTACCTTGGTTGGCTGTCCTGGAAATGAGAGAGAAAACTCTTACTGCCTTTGAGTCAGAATCGACTCAAGTGACCCTGCAGCAGGTTTTTGAAGGCTGTGAACTGTATGAGAGAAGGTTGACTGTCTTTCTCCCTTGGAGCCACTTTTAGATTCCAGCCACCTTACAGGTGTTTGGGTTAGCAGTGCTGTTCTCCACATACTACACTTCTGTCTTGCACAGAACCTGGCAGCAAACCTTCTCTAAAAAGTTGGTAGTTTTTGAAAAAAGGAATTATGGCCCAAAGAAATAAAATTTAGAACATACTAGGTTAAAGTGATCTGGTTTTCTATTATAAATAATGGAAAATCAATCAATAACCAACCTTGTTAAGTGGCATTGAGATTGTACAGATTCTGCTGATACTTTGATGTTGTTATTGTTGGAACCAAATCATAGCTGACCCTCCAGCAGATTTTCATTGGCAATAAATTGGCATGGAAGGAGCTTGACTATCTTGGTTTAGTAGCTCTAATACTAAGCTACCAGAGCTCCTTATGCTTTGACAGGAAAATAAAAAGTTTTCTTTATAGTTTAACTTCCTATGTTGGCCTGAACAGATGCTGAGTGAAAGGAGTTTATTTGTTGATAGATTGTTGTTGTTAGCTTTCATCAATTTGTGTATGACTCATAACAACCTTGTGAAATCGGAACCCTGTCCTACCCTGTGCCATCTTTGACTCACTGAGCCCAAAGCCTCAATCATTGTATCAGTCTGTCTGGTTGAGAATCTACCTCTCTTTTCTGACCCTCCACCTTTCCAAGCATGATGTCTCTTTCCAAGAGATAGCTTCTTTTAACAGCATGCCAGAAGTACATGGGGCAAAGCTTCGTTATCCTTGCATCTAATGAGTACTCTGGCTGCCCTTTCTCCAAGATATACCTATTATATTCTTTTGACAGTTAATGTCATATTCAGCACTCTTCTTCAACACCAGCTCAAAGGTATTGCCTTGTTTTCTGACCTCTGTATTCATTGGTACCTTGTTAATGTTGTTATTAGGTGTCATAGAGTTGAGTATGATGCATTGCGACCCTACGAACCACAGATCTGAACCTTGTGGTATCTCAGGCCATCCTCAAAATCCCTGAAACACTCAAATCTATTGTTGAAGTCACTGTTTGAAGGTCTTTTTCCCTTTCCCACCCCTCCACCTTCCCAAGCATGATGTTCCACTCCAAGGAATAACCTCTCCTAGCAACATGCCCAAAGTGTGCGAGACAAAACTTCATCATCTTTGCCTCCAAGGAGCACTCTGGCTGCACCTTCCCCAAGACATACCTGTTTGTACTTTTGGCAGTCCATGGAGTCTTCAGCACTCTTCTCCACCACCACAGATCAAAAGCATCAATTCTTCTGTCATCCTTAGTCATTGTCCAGCTCTCCAGTGCACAGAAAGTGACTAAAAGACTGTGAGGTGAATCAGATGCACCTTAGTTCTCAGACTGATTGATATGTCAATCATTTCTATATTTTGGGCATGTTGCAAGGAAGGACCATTCTTTGGAGAGGGATGTCATGCTTAGGAGGGTGGAGGGACAGCACAATAAAGGAAGACCCTCGATGAGATAGATTGACTCCATGACTGGGGTAAGGGGGGGTAGGTGTGTCAGAGATAGAGCAGAGTTCATTCAGAACGGTTGTATATAGGATCTCTATGAGTTTCAGGTGACCCACGACACATAACAACAACAAATCTGTTTCATTTTTTTCCCCTACCAAGATGTAATACAAATTCTAGACCCATTGATGTAGAATTGATTTCTACTCATAGCCAGCCCATGGGACAGAGTAGAACTGCCTTATAGGGTTTCTAAGGCTTTGATCTTTATGGAGCAAACTGCCATGTCTTTTTCAAGTAAAGTGGCTATTGAGTTCCAACCACTCACCTTTAGATGAGAAGACTAGCTTAGCACTTAATTGCTGCACTACCAGAGCTCTTCAAATGCTAGTCACTGTTAGGTTAATAAAGTTTGGTTGGTAGCAACCATGTGTACAACAGTATAAAACACTGCTCAGTTCTGTGCCATCCCTGTAATCATTGCCTTGCTTAAGCCCATTGTTTCAGCCACAGTGTCAGTCCATATACATAGATAAAAGAGAGTCCCTGGATGAGATGGATTGATACAATAACTGTGGTAATGAGGGTAGGTGTGCCAGAGACAATGAGATTGGCTCAGGATAGAGCAAGGTGCAGAGCTATTATGCATAGGCATAATATGTACTCTTTATGTACATAATATGTACTCAGTTGCACATAACAAGAACAACAACAGTGACATCTCAGAAGCATGAGTGCCTCTGTTTAGATGAAAGAGTAAGATGGATATAATTTTATGCATAGTTGTTAGATGCCATCAGATTGGTTCTGATTCATCACAGGAATTTGTGCAACAGGACAAAACACTACCTGTTTCTGCACTATACTCATGTTTGTTGATATGTTTGAATTCATTTTGCCACAATTGTGTCAATCCATCATATTGAGAGTCTTCTTTTTCACTAGCTTGGTGCTTTACCAAACATGATGTCTTTCTCCAGAAAATGGTCTTATGAAAATATGTCCAAAGTACAAAGTCTTAACCATCTTTGCTTCTGAGGAGTGTTCTGGCTCCCTCCCCCCAGGTGTTTTTGTTTGTCCTCTGGAAGTCCATGGCACATTTAGTCTTTTTTTTTTTTTTACATTTAGTCTTCTTCATCAACACTATAATTCAAAAGTATCCATTTTTCTTCAGTCTTCCTTATTCATTATTTATATGACACTTAGAGTTCTTTTACAGCAGGTTTGCCCAATGCAGATATGTTTTATTTCTTTACTACCACTTCTGTGAATGTTGGTTGTGGATTCAAGTAAAATGAAATCCTTGACAACTGCTACCTTTTCTCTGTTTATTATAATGTTTCTTGCCACTCTGGTAGTAAGAATTTTTGAGGTAAGATCCATATTGGATCTTTGATACAGTATGGAATTTGATACATTCTGTAACTCTGGTACTAATCTTTGCTCTTAGTTAATAACTGTTTCCTATCTTCTCTTTTGGCAAGCAAGGTTGTGTCATCTGAGTCTTCCTCGAATTCTGAAGCCATCTTTTTCTAAATATAGACCAATTTCTTGGATTATTTGCCTCAGGAAAAATATTAAATAAGTACGGCACATACCTTTCCTGATTGTAAACCTACTGTATCCTCTTATTCTGTTCAAACACTACTCTCTTGTTTTGTGTACGAGTTTTACATGAATATAATTCAGACTACAGTATGTTTAACCCAGACCTTGTAATTTTAAATTTTTTTGTATGTATGTGAAATTGGACAATAGATATGAAAGATAAAAATATAATTGATACATTTGAATTGTGTTTGTGAAGAATAGTCAATATACTGTGGACTGTCAAAAAAACAGATGAATCTGTCTTAGAAGTACAGTTAGAGTATTTCTTAGAAGCAATAATAGAAAGACTTAGTCTCACATATTTTGAACATGATTTTAGGAAGTGCTGGTCCTTGCAGAAGGACATTGTGCTTGTAAAAGTAGAGGGTCATCAGAAGAGAGGGAGACTTTCAACAAGATGGATTGACACAGTGACTGCAATAATTGTATAGCAAATATTTTTGAGGATGACACCAAAATCAAGCAGGTTTTCATTCTGTTGTATGTAGTGTTGCCATGAGTTGGAGCTAACGTTACAGTACCTAACAACAGTTATACAGATTTTCCCAAGTCGGAAACATCTCATGTACATCCACATAGTCACAAACCAGTTCTTGAACCAACTCCTGTATTATCTTTCCTTGAATGTTACATGTACAGGTAAAGGCATCCAGTGGCGCCTCGCCATAAAGTTGTAGAGCCTGAGCAGTCTGATGGAAGGTTGCTCTGAGTCGGAACTAACTCAACAGCAGTGGGTTTGAGTTTTAGTTGGCAGTCAGTGGAAAACCAGTATGAGCTGTGAACTTTGACTTAGATCTCAGTTTAAAAACCCTAGAACTTTATTATGTAAATCTTCTCGGTTGTTAATTCCAATTAGGTTAATTAAACTTTTCTTCGGTAGCTTAATTTTTTTTTTCTATTAAGACATGTAAAATTATATGTGTGAATATATTTAGGGACTTGAAATTTTGAGAGGACTTGAATTTTTATCTGAACTTACATATCTGCTAAGTAGTTTTTATTGCAACCTGTGTCACAATGGCTATAGTTAGCAAGTTATTGAGTTTTGAATATTTAAGACATTTGTATTTTGAACTTTGACTAGTTGAACTGTTTAAACCTATTCTGGTTTAAAAGATTGAAAGGAGATTCATGGTGCCTTTTGTCTCTTTTTAGTTTTAACAATGATGAAAAGACTGATGGTGAAAACAATGTTGAAGAATCCAGTAAATCTCCTCCCACTGCTTCACAGAGAAGAAAACGAGTATCAAGTACTTCGTGTCTGGATAAACTTGGTGTCATTGTTCCTTCCGAACCTCATCCTTTGTCTCCCATTCAAGAAGTTCCACAACCAAGCCCTGTCCCAGCAAAAGAGAAACAGCCATGCTCAGACAGATATCGAATCTATAAAGCTCAAAAACTAAGAGAAATGTTAAGAGAAGAGTTGAGAAAAGAGAAGGTAAGGGAGAAAACTCAGAATTTTAACTGTTACTTGCTAGATTGCAGTTTTTACTTAAGTAAAATATTAGTTGTAGAGATTTGCGTTTGTAGTATTTTGAGTAGAGGAACAAAACCTTGTACTATCTGTTACAATTCCCTAGCCCTAAGAGAGATGCAAATTAAAACAACTAGGAGATATCATTTCACCCCAGTCAAAATAGCAAAATTTAACAGAACAGCAAGCAACAAATGCTGGCGAGGTTGTGGAGAAACTGGAACCCTGATTCACTG